TATATATATATATATATATATATATATACACTGCTGTTCAAAAGTTTAGGATCAGTAAGATTTTTACTGTGTTTTAAAGAAGTCTCTTCTGTGCATTAAGGTTGCATTTATTTGACCAAAAATACAGGAAAAAACAATAATATTGTAAAATATTATTACCATTTAAAATCATGGTTTTCTATTTTAATATACTTTAAAATACCATTTATTCCTGTGATCAAAGCTGAATTTTCAACATCATTACTCCAGTCTTCAGTTTCACATGATCCTTCAGAAGAAATCATTCCAATATGCTGATTTGTTATCAATGTTGGAAGCAGTTGTGCTGCTTAATACTTTTTTGAGAACCTGTGATACTTTTTTCAGGATTCTTTGATGAATAAAGTAAAAAAAACAGCATTTATTTCAAACAGAAATCTTTTCTAACAATATAAGTCTCTATTATCACTTTTTATCAATTTAACACATCCTTGCTGAATAAAAGCATTCATTTCTTTAAAAAAATACAACATAAAAAAATGACCCAAAACTTTTGAATGGTAGTGCATTTGCGACTGATAACTACTGATATTTGCGACTATGAAAATTTTCTTTAGGAGCACCAGTGCGACTGACCCGATCATCATCATACTTGTGATTGCGCTCAGGGGAGCTTCAAAGGTTTCTACGTGTTTTTGCAGCGTTGAGTAATGTATCACAGACATATCTCACAAATCCTTTCATAAGCAAAGTGTAGACGGGGTGTAAATAAGATTCATTGCGCAGTGTAGGGAGCTTCGTTGATTATAAATGTGAGATCGAGATGAACTAAGATGAGTGACAGCTTAATGATTTTTAAAGGAGTTTGTAAATGTGATACTGATTTAATACAATACAATTCAAGTTAATATTAAGTGATTTACATTGTCTGACTATAACACTATTGTCTGATTTTGCTCTATTTCGTCGTCGAAAATAGTTTAAAACAAAGATACAGCGGAGCCGCTGCACATCTCCATTCAAACACAGTGGGTTTTTAAACGAATCTAGTGAGTCAGTGATTCATGATTACCCATTCAAAAAGACAGTCACTTGATTCATTCCTGAATGAATCAGCCGTTTGAATGAATCAATTGAATGAATGATTCAGTAATAAAAATCAGTGACTTACCGCCACCTGCTGGCAGTTTGTTTCATTTTTAAAGTATCTTTTCAGTTATTTAAATCATTTAATATTTCTATATTCAAAATGTTATATTTAAAGGGGTCATATGACGCGATTTCAATTTTTCCTTTCTCTTTGGAGTGTTACAAGCTCTTGGTGCATAAAGAAGATCTGTAAAGTTGCAAACACTAAAGTGTCAAAACCAAAGAGATATTCTTTATAAAAGT